TTGAAACCTGGAAACCGAGGCAATTGGCTTGGTCTTCTGAGATTGCCAATTATGCTGTTTTTTTACACGATCTCGCCGCCAGTCAGCATTATACTAAAAAAGATCATTTTCGTTATTGGTGACCACATAATGATTAAAGCGATCCGTTACCTAAGGCAGCGGCATTTATCCGATTGAATGTCAGAGATAATCCTGGCGAACTGGTCCCTGACAGCCGAGAATTCATTTATGCAAATGCCGTCCTTTTTTTTGTCAAAGACAAAACTTTAAGCCAATCTGGAGTAAATAAACGATATCAACTCGAGATCGTATTAATGAGAAGATCCGATTTTTCAATATTCAGTGCAGAATCTGGACTCGATGCATTCGATTCGTAATATACTGACATAACATTCAGAGACGTGTGCCAATCCGTGCGCGTTCCTTCGGAGTCGCGTTTACAATGCTAATCAGTCGGCTCTCATTATACGAGAAGCGTACGCTTCTTGTTCATTTACGGAATATATGCAAATCCCGCTTAATTGAATCTATGGAATATAATATTGTGTATACGTTATATCGTAACTTATCGTGGCAACAACGTATGCATCGATAGTTGCGTCCAAGAATCTGTGTCACTTTATTAGTTTCCTTGTTTTCTTGCAAAATCAACTAGTGACTCTAAATCAAGTGACTTCGATAAATTTTATTATATCGTTAATAACAGTTGCCGTGAAATATAATACTTAGTCAGACACGAGATGATGATTCTGAACTGAACCTAACAACATACCAATTTTATTCCATTACATTGTAATACAATTTCGCAATTTAATTACATAGTTATTCAATTACATTGTATTTCAATAAACATTGTAATGAAATTACATTGTATTTCAATAAACATTGTAATGAAATTAGATTGTATATCAGTAAACATAGTAATTCAATTACATTGTATTTCAATAAACATTGTAATGAAATTACATTGTATTTCAATAAACATTGTAATGAAATTAGATTGTATATCAGTAAACATAGTAATTCAATTACATTGTATTTCAATAAACATTGTAATGAAATTACATTGTAT